GCGGGTAAGGACTCGAGAAAGACGTCCCTGAACTCGTCGAGGATTGAAGTGATAGCGGGGTTGGAGGGCGGGGCTTGATCGGGTTTGTCCGTCGGGAGTAAGTCCTTGGGACTTTCGTGATCAAGGACAAGACAGTAGTAGGCGGAGTCGGGGCTTAGGCAAGCCATGTGGAGGAATTGGTGCGGGGTGACAGAGCCTTGGGAGGTCGGATATTGGAGATAGGGGATGTCAATGGTTGTGTCGGGGGGGTTGGTGAGGCGAAGGAAGTTGGGGTGGAATGCGTATGGCATGTAGCGGTCCAGCCACGGGGTTCCTAAGACGATGTCGCACATCAAGTGCATGACATCAAACGAGACCTGACTGCGGAGGGTTCCGATGGTCATGATGGTCTCGGGAACCGTGAGGTCTACTACGACGGCGGTGTCTTTGTCCCCTAGGCGAATCGTGATCGGGGAGTCATAGCCGGTAGAGGTAAGACCGTCTTTGCGGACACACGCATCGGTGATGAAGTTACCGGTGGCTCCAATGTCGAGGAGGGCCCGGAACTTAGTTGTTGACACACCAAGGGTGGCAGCGATGAATTTGAGGTGGAAACGAGATGAGTTGGCGGTGGAGATGATGGTGTTGAGGCGRCGTTGTTCGTTGCCTAAGCGGACAAGCCGATCGTGTCGGGCTTGTTCCTCAACAACATCGGAGAAGGTGATAGTGGATGCATTTGGAGGAAGGGTAGAGGAGCATGAGGCAGTGGGAGGTGTTTGCGACGCCTGGGAATCGTCCGGTGGAGGGGGCATCGCCGGAGAGGGGGAAGGCAAACGAATTGGCGATGTCGGATGGGCCATCGGTGCGACGAAGGATGTCACAGATGGGTAGGCCGACAGATGCAATGTTGAAGCCGAGTCAGTGTTCTGGGGACTGTGTTCATGACGAGGAGGGGCCCGCGCTTGCCGAGGGCGGTGATGCGGAGCTTGCAGGTTGCGTGGAGGTGGACTGACGGGTGAATCGTGCGGTGTTGGGGCAGTTGGTTTGTTGGTGCCCCAATTGGCGACAACGGAAGCAACCCCCTTTTGCTTGGAGGTAGGTGCGCTCCTCGGGGGTGAGTTTCTTGAGGCGGGAGGGTGGGGTAGATGAGGGTGGTCGGGAGCTGCGATCTCTGCGCTCCATTCTCATGAACTGGACGACATCGATTTCCTCGGAAGTGAGGGATGAAGAGTCGAGTGAATCGAAAGATGCGTCGGGGTCAGATGTGGTGAACTCGTCTGAGGAAGTGATGGAGGTGGTGTCTTCGGGGGTAATGTGGTGGAAAAAGTGGGTGCGGGAGGCACCGGGGGGGGCCTGGTGGTGGGGGTGGAGGAGTCGATCGTGGTGGAGCATGCGAGAGAGGAGGTCAGCAAGGGGCATGTCGGGTTCGTGGGCGAGGGCGGTTGCAAGGTCTTTGTGGCATACTCGTTTGATGCGGGAGATGAACGCACAGTCGGGAATGACGGTGTGGGGGAGGTGGTGTCGGAGGGAGCGGACGTATTGGACGAAGCGGTCCGTGGGACCGGTCTGGCGGAGGTGGCAGAATTGTTCAAGGTAGTCGTCAATGGTTTTCTGGGGCCGGAAGGTGGCAGTGAGGCGGGTGGCCCATTGGAGGAAGGTGTGGCGCGGTCCTCCGGAGGCTCGGCGGTTGCTAGCTTCAGCCATCCACCATTTGGCTGCATTGCCGAGGAGGCGGGAGGTGGCAATGGGGAGCCAGTGGGCAAGGGGCATGTGGTGGAGTTGAAATGAGTTCTGAAGCTGGATTAGGAAGAGGAAAACGTCCTCGTGGGTGAGGCCGGAGAAGGACATGATTTCGCTAGATCGGAAGGAACGGGGATTTCCCCGTCGCGGTGAACGATCTGCGCGAGGGTGTTGAAGCTGAGGTTATCGGGGGTGGTGTCGTAGCAGGTGTGGTCGATTTGGTTGTTGTCCTCAAGGAGGTAGTTGGGGGGAAGTTGTGGCATTGCGGGGAAGGCCCCAGAGGTGACTTGGGAATAGGTGGGACGGATGGTGGGGATGGTGGAGGTGGTCATGATGGGTTGGGAGAGGGTTTGGGAGTGCGAGGGGGGAAGAGGGGTGACTTTGATGGGCGAGGAATGAGGCAGTGTGCTGGATGCGCCGGATGAGGGAGGAGGTGTGCTCTCTCTCCCTCTCTCACCCTCAGCCTCACGCTCGTTACACTGGTATCGGAGCGGTTCGAACCCGCCCACCCACACCCACCCACAAGCATGCACGCTTGCCCACCCACCCACCCACCAACCCACCTACACCCACCTACACCCACCCAGCCCCCGACACCCTTGTATTTTTTTATCGTCAATGTGTGTTTTTTTTTTTGTCGTTGTCTGGATTTCATTCCTTTTTTGTTTTGAACGGCGAGCTGCCCTCGTGGAGGAAAACGAGCCCAATGAGGGGTTAGAAGGGGGAAAAAAAAAGAAAAAAAAAAATGAGAAAAGGGGAAGGGAAAGACAAAAACGAAGAGAGAGGGACAACATCCGCGAATGTGGTCGTGGCTATGCCGCAAGTACAGGCCAATCTAATCTGAGTGTCACCACTCAGGCTAGACCTAGAAATTGAAGTGCTATATGATAGAAATGGCTAAGTACAACCATTTTTGCAATGGACCTGCACTAGCAGAAAAAGTGTCGGGTACGTCAAACTTTAAAGAGTCGTAACTCTTCAAGGAAAAGTAAGAAAAATAAAAATGAAGTGTTTTGAAAATGGCAGATCCTCAGCTATCTCGAAATTTCTGAGGTAGCTGATTTGAAATAAAGAAAAATAAACAGAGGCAGTTGAAAGTAACTGCCTCCCTAAGTGTATGGCTGAGGTGCGGCCACACTGAGCTCTTGATCTTAACTCAGATCAAGTGCTTAGCTTGAGCAACAATTTTGGCTTGTGGGCAGGAGTGCTGGCCATTACCCTCCAACAACTATAAAAGTCAGCACTCCAACCTGCAGCTTCACAAATATGGCAGTGTTGTCGGTGCTTTCGCTCATTTGAGTATTGGCCGGATTCTGGTGTTGGAGAGTGAGAGAGTGGTCTGTAGAAGAGTGGACTGAGGAGCGACGCAGCCATATGCGATGCTGGGGGCACTCTGCCTCAGCGTTAGGTTGGTGCTGCGTCTGTGGGATTGCCCCAGGCCCCAAGGACCACGTTGTGGAACCGGGGCTCTGCCCTAGGCTAACTCGATCAATCAAGCAATCAATCAATCAAGTAATCTATCGATCGTATCCGATGGATTGATTGATTGATCGACCGATTGATTGCTTGCTTGATTGATTGATTGATTGATTGATTGATTGATTGATTGATTGATTGATATTTTATAATTAAAAAAAAAACGACGTGTTGTACACAACGTCCCTTGCCCGTCGATTCTTCTTTTTCCTCTCCCCACTTTCAAAGTTTTTCCACCCCCCGGCTGCGATGTGGCTCACATTAAAAAAACTTAAAAAAAGGAAAAACAACCCATCAATCAATTTATCCAATTGATTGATTGATAGATTGAGAGAGAGAGAGAGAGAGAGAGAGAGAGAGAGAGAGAGAAAGAGAGAGAGGGGGAGAGAGAGAGACAGAGAGAGAGAGAGAGACTCTTCCCACCCTGATTTCCCGCACCATTCCCCCCAATTTCCCAGGCCACAACCTAGGCTTGGACCTGGGGTTGAACCTCTGGACGCACGTGGGCAGGATCTGGTCCTGTCCTTCGGCCTGTACCCATGTTGTAGCGGACCTCTGGCAGGCCTGTGAGACCAGCCCCTTGGCCTGTTCTCATAGGCCTGTGTTGTATTCGGGGTAGTCCAGTCCAGGTCGGTACCTCTGTCGGTACCAGCCAGTCTAGTCTAGCCCCGTCAGTCCGTTGGGGTATACCCCAGTTGTTGTCTGTTTGTGAGATCATTCTACATCCGCACACTTTGGAGTACGTGTGTTGGAGTCTAGCATGGGAGCTGCACTTTGTCATCTCGCTCCCCCTTCTTCCTCCATCTCCATCTCTATCCCTGGCGGAACACCACACCTGGTGGGTCTGCCACACAGGTATCGGAGCTGGAACGTTCCCCGCTGCCACCCACCACCCCGCACAATAGGGAAAACAGCAAAACCTGACAACAGGGTTTTTGGCTGTTTTTCGGGCGGTTTTCGATGAAAACGAGGGAAGAAAAAAAAAAAAAAGGTGCAGCAGGAGAGCGATACGTGGCGAAAAAAGGATTGGTCATTCGCCATCACTACGCGTTGTCGGAGGGCGTGGTGTCCCGACCCTCCTCCGTGTACCAAGTCCCTACTTGGTACCACTTTAGTTTTAGTGCTGCAATCTGAAGCTACTCCTGAAACACTATAACACTTGGTACCTGGGCTATACCATGACGTGGACCGGACCTGCTTGGCGCTTGCCTCAGCAGAAAGGTGCGCCGCAGGGCTTTCCATTGGTCCACGCAAACTCGGCGCCCTGCTGTACAGCAGAGCACAACCGGCCTGTGACCGTGGTAGCCGCCGGGCTCGCCCTGGGACGCGAAAGTAGAGAGATAGGTGTTGTCTTTTATATTATGCACCAAGCGCCCCTCTACAGAGTTATGGGTCAAGTGCATGACACTGACAGCAGTCAGAAAAAGCAGAAAGCTAAACAAAAAGCAGCAAGAAAAGAAAAATGGAAAAGAAAACCAAAGGTTTAATTAATGTGGTTGGACTACTAGCTTTAGTTCGGGGGAAATCTGACGGCCTCTGACCCCCAGTTATCGTTGCGTCTCACTTTTTTTTTATTATTATTTATTTATTGCTATCGTTATTCCCTTTTTTTTTACTTTCCTTGATTGGCCTGTTGTTTCGTAGGGAGGCCAACAGGACTGGGCTTCGAGTTCGGGCGGTGGTATTGCAGTCTAGGCAAGCCCAACCCTTCGAATATCATTTGTACCGGGTCTGCACGTCTAGGCTCCACGTGGTAGGACCCCAGTAGCTGTACTGCAGGGTAGATACAGTGGGCTTGAAAAAGGGGAGTGTGAAAAAGAAAGAAAAGGGGGTAAGGATGAAAATCGGGTTTTGGGCTTGTGCGTGGACTTGCACCACTATTCAGGCGAAGCTGTGGCGCGAAGGAAACGAAAACTTGAAGCGTCATCCTTTCTTTCCGCATTTATTTATTTATTATTATTATTATTATCATTATTATTATTATTATTATTATTATTATTATTATTATTATTATTATCATTATTACCTTACCGGTTTTCAGGCGCGGTCTTCTTCTTCCTTTTGTCATTTCGCGGGAAGGTCAACGGTCCGAATTTGGAGCTATAGTCCGAGTTGGCCCGCTTATATCGTCTAAGAATGAGCGCAGACTGTGTCGCACGGTTGGGCCCCAAAAGAGGGGCGGCCCGTGGCCGCATCGGTAGGGAGCCCATCACCCCCTATAGGAGGTCATAAGCCCCCTCCTTGCTATCAGAGACGGGCACCCGATGTAGATTAGTCTGTGCTGCGTTTTAAAGAGGGAAATGTGACCTTTAGTATTCTGTTATGGGACCGCAGTGCCGAGCCTGCAGTCATATCGCTAGGGTCTAGGACGGACAAGTGTTAGTTTAGTTCGCGATCAACCGTTGGATTTTTGGTTTTGAATATTATCCCCAAAAATAAAAATAAAGAAAAAAAAATTAATTATTAGTTTATTGCTTTAAAATCCTTGAAATATGGTAAGGTCTGAAAAGGACTAATCTGAGTCCTTTGTTCAGAACGCAGGGGGAAAGGCTTATAAAAGGAAGGAGGGGACGGGTTATCGTCCGCGGCCGGTCGCCTGGTGGTACACAGTCTGTACTGCGAGCTCCGGTGGGGAGTGGTCTGCTATTGGAAGTCGACGGTCTAGTGTTGTGCTGTCTATCAAGCGGGGGCTGGCGATCCTGAGCGGATATGGCGGACCGAAATGGCCTGCGCGGTTACAGGCCTAGATATATGAGGTACTCCTGGATGTGGGAGAGAAAGGATGAGAAGGGTACTGTAGTGGAAACCATACTGACCTACGGTAAGCCTGACGGGGAGGTGAGGCTAAAAGTTAATGTGTGTGGCCGTAGAGAGCAGGAAATGAGAAGAGATGAGAGTCTGCAGGCTGCGGTTACCGAGGCGCATAACAGAGCCGAGCGGAGGTGCAGGCGTGACGGGGTAACTGCAGGCATGCGGGTAACGGTCACTTACCACGAAGATGACTCATCGACGGGGACTACTGACCGAGAGGTACAACACAATGACTGGGACTCCGAAGGGGAGTCCGAGATGAGTGACAGGGAGGCGGATATCCAGGTCTGGCATGAGCTGGACCAGACCCGCCGAAACCAACCGTTGGCAGGCCCAGTGGAGCGCGGGCCCGAGGTGAGTTCGCGACAGCGGGGAGGCTGAGGAGAGTGCAGTGGTATGAGCACATGCTCGGGTACTCGTCTTACACGTGGCGCGGCCTGGCAGAGATCAAGAGGGTGGTCAATGAAAAGAGGGGGCGAGTTTTGCAAGGTGCGAGTAACGTCAACTGTTTTTCTTGTCAGACTGAGCGCAACGTAGATTGAGCTTGCGGGGGAGAAACAGAACAAGGGGAAGAGATATATGTGAAAAAGCGTGTGTGCGACGCGTGGCACCCCAAGAAAGACTGGCGCGTGAGGTAGAAGGTCAACGAAGGGGAGAGGCGGTGCAGATGAGCAGAGGGCGACCTTGCTAGATACGATTGATGTCAACCGCTGCTTCCATGCTCACTCGCGGCGTTTTGTGTCTACCGAGCTGCAGCAGGTCTTCATGGGCCAGTGTCGAGACACGAGGGCTGGCTCTCGAGGCGGATACACGTGAGAGGCGAGCTACGTGGCACGGGGGTGAACGTGCGAGAAAGGGGAGG